AAGATCTGACGGGGCTGGAGCTGCTGTCGAATATCAGTACCAATAGCACACCATTTGTGCGGGTCAAACAGGAGCCGATGGAGCACATCGAGCACACGGCACACCCAGTGGCGCCACCACCTCCCATGCAACCGATGCAGCAGCAGCAGCCAATGATGGAACTGGAGGCCGCGCCGCAGGAGCCTTTGGGCGGCTTGAAGCTGCTTTGCGCTTTGGCGGAGCAGCGCATACAGGAAGAGGTGGTGCAGGGCAGCAGCCTCTTTGCCACAACCTATTCGCGTACGCCAAGTCCCACACCGACGCCGCCAGCGTCAGCGCCAGGCACACCAACGCCCATGCCAACACCCACGCAGCCCGTTGGGGGGAACGAGGGCAAGTCCTGCTTTGGTTTCGTGCCACCAGCAGGAGGATCATTGTTCTCCTCAACATCTTCCTTCCAAATGCCATTAAGCTCGCCAGCATTTCCCTCTATGCAGGGCATTGAGCTGCCCACCACATCGCTGCAGTCCGCAGATCCGACGCCCCCGAAGCGCAAGAAGCACAAACATTCCAAGTCCTCGTCCAGCGAGAGCCGCAAGTCGGCGCGTTGCAGCAAGAAGAGCAAAAAGAAGCATCGTCGAGACAACAGCAGCCGCCAGCAGCAGTTTGAGCCGCAGCTGCAGTCGCCGTTGGATTACGGGGAAGGCGATGCCAGCCTGCAGGATGAGCAGCTGCAGTCGGAGCTACGCAGTGCGCTGCACACCATGGGTCCCAGCTATGCGCAGCGCTTTGGCAACGAGGTGTTCAGCATAATGGACAGCAACATGCGAATGCGTTTGGCAGACATTACGCGTCAGTATCGCAAGAAGAAACGGAAGCTGGACGAGATAAGCAAGCTTAAGAAGAAGCGAAAGAGTCTCAAGCTGCAGCAGCAACAGCAGCAACAGCAGCAACAGCATCTGCAGCAGCCAGTGCAGGCAGCACAGCCCGCGCTGTCACCACTGCAACAGCCACAGCTGACGCTCAGCTCAACGCTGTCAAGTGTCCTGGGGTAAGTGTGGGGAATTCCCTTTCTGAAACGAAAACATGCATTAAAATATTATTCATTCCATTAGGACTTCATCACCGCTGCGCGATTACAAATTCCCAAAATTCTCAAGCAGCAACCTGCAGGCGTCCAGCTTCTTGCGGTTCCCGGAGAAGACGACGCACTCGTTCCCACCACCGCCGCCGCCGCAGCAGCCGCAGACAGAGCCCAGTCCCTTGCCGCACAGTGGCTCACCGATTACCTCATCGTTTGTGCGCCTCGAGCCGAGTGCGCTGGACGCGGCCATTGCCCCAAGTGCCCCAATTGCTACCTCCATTTCCTCCTCAAATTGTTCTTCCCCGTCGACTGCAGCGCACAAGCAATCATCTACGTCCGCCTCGTTGGTGCGCAGAAAGCGAAAGCTAAAGGCCAGTCCTGGCAGCGGCGATCAACCAACGGCCCCAACCGAGGCCAAGCGCAGAGCCAGCGCCACGGATAAGGAGCTGCAGCTGACCAGCGAGCATCTGTATCGCGAGGAGACGCGCGTTCTCACCGACATGGGTGGCCTGTTCTATGCGGGCGTGATGAAGCCGCTGCGTCCGCCCGATGTCTATGCCATCACGCTGGACGGCGAGCGGGGCAACAAGTCACATGTGATGTCGCGCGAGGATATACTCAAGGATACGGTGAGTGTTTCTGCAACTCTCCTCTGCAATTAGTTTAATGTGTAAATATCTTTGTGGCAGATTCTGGAGGTGGCGCCTAAGAGCGTGGAGTGTGTGCCTGTGGGCACGCGTCTGTGTGCCTATTGGAGTCAGCAGTACCGATGCCTTTATCCGGGCCGAGCCATTGAGTCGGAACCAGCTGAGGAGGGAGCTGTAGCGACGGCTGCAGCAGCACCCAACACGCCGACCCATGCGCCGGACTTTGTCAGCGTGGAGTTCGATGATGGAGACAGCGGCAGGATCCGCTTGCAGAACATCCGGCTGCTACTCAGTGATTATCCCATAGCAGGTGTGTATGCAGGGCGATTGATTGACTCCAATGAGTCGTGTGAAAGGCCATCCAATCCATTCTGCCGTCATTCCTGTCATTTATGTGTTGTGTGTGTGTTGTTTTTAAGTGTGTGTGTGTGTGTATGTCTTTGTTCGTGCCTTTATTTACTTCTTTGTTATTTTCGTTGATCCTCCCTCCTTTGACCCACAATCCACAACCACATGGAACCAGAGTACAACGATAATCCCCTCTACTCAGTAGGCAAGCAGAAGCGCGGCGCTCTGCGCACTGGGGAGAGTGGTGGACGCTGCAATTCGCAGGAACCATTACATGCGCAGCATTCTGCCCACATGTCGGGCTGCGAGGACTCGCACAGCCATCACAGTGCTGTCATGAATAGCGACAATACCACCTCACTGGCCGCCACCATGGAGCTGTTCACGCAGCGCAGCGAGAAGAAGCGACTGAAGAAGAGCCTCAAGAAGATGTCGCGGTCACAGAACGCCAATGGCGGTGGCACCAGCAACTCGCTGTCAGTGGCTGCCGTCTCGAATGAAGTGGCCGATCAGGCAACAGCTGGCGATGCTGGAGCTGGCGCCGTCGATGAGGCAGCCGGCCGTAAGCATCACAAGCACAAGAAACGCAAGAAGCACAAGAAACATCACCGCAAGAATGGCAGTGAGGAGCCAGAACAACACCAGGACTTCATCACAACAGCCGAGGAAGTAACAGAAGCGACGCCTGCCCCTGCGTCAAATCGCGTCAAGATGGAGATCAAAGTAAAGACGGAACAGTTGGATATGGAAGAGGAGAGTGCCTCCAATCTGATGTCTGAGATATCCGATGAGGTAAGCTAGGAAATCACTTAACTCCGTAACTGCATCGCTTACTCCTTTTGTTTTTCCTTTTAGGCCAAGGGCGAAGATCTGGTCGAGCACAACAACTCCAAGGGCAGCAGCAAGATAGCGGCCTTTCTGCCGGAGCGACAGCTGTGGGGTTGGAATGGCGTTGCCTATCGCAAGGGCGGCGTCAAGGGCCGAGCCAGAAAGCAATTTTACAAAACAATCAAAAGAGGAAAGGAGACCATTACGGTAGGTGCTATGCAATTAGTTTGAATTTAAGTTTTAAGATAAATTTTGCTTGATCTATTTTGTAGGTCGGGGACAGTGCAGTATTTCTATCGACGGGCAGACCGGATCGTCCCTATATTGGACGCATTGAGTCTATGTGGGAGACCAGCACAGGCAATAAGGTGGTGCGAGTGGCGTGGTTCTATCATCCGGAGGAGACGACTGGCTGCCCAAATTTGAAGTATCCGGTAAGATATTGCAGCCAGAAGGCAGGATCCCCACATTCTAACACTCTTTTTTTTTCTAGGGTGCTCTGTTTGAATCGTCGCATGATGATGAGAACGATGTGCAGACCATTTCGCACCGGTGCGAGGTGCTGCAGTTTGGGCACTACTTTGAGAAGTTCGGTGCCGATTCGAAGCAATATCAATCCATATACGATAACAATGATACATATTATTTAGCGGGGCACTATAACCCAAGGTTACAAGTGCTAAAACTACAAGACGATATTCCAACTCTCGAAGAGCTGCAGGATACAAATACTACTACAACTACAACTACAAATAAAACTACAACTACTACAACTAACGTGAATTAAGCGAATGAATGAATGAATCATGGCTAGAAATCATGATTAGGCATAAGTGCATACAGATCTATATATATACAATATATATACACACACATTATACATATATTTTACTATACGCGCGGAACAGAGCAGACAACAGAAGAGAAGAGAAAGGCATATATATACCTATATGTATACAAATATTATGTACTTCTATGTATATTTTAAATGTATTATGTAGTTCAAACAAAAAAAAATCTAAGAAAAAAAAAACACAAAAAAAGAAGAAGCAAAGGACATTTAGCAAGAGAAAGAAATATAGAAAGAAAGAGAGAGAACAAGGTACTAAGCAACAACCACTAAAATGTATGTGTAGTTACGAGAGAAGCGCATGCAATTTTAAGTCTAATTTTTTGTAAAAAGAAACGATGTAAAAGGCGCATGAGAAACGACGACAAACGAAGATTCACTGAATGTTCATAGATATGTTTACAAACAAACAAACAAAAAACAAAAAACAAAAACAAAACGATATGTGTGCTCCTGACTTCCTTACATACAACAAAAACACCCCAAAACAATCCCACACTAAACACAAAAACAAAACAAAACCACTAAAAACAACACACAATACAGACTTCAGCTACAGAAACGGATACGAATACGGAATACGGAATACGGAATGTGTGTGTATACCGCGACATGTTTCAGATGAAATTTAAAACGTGTTTTAATGATTTTAAGCAGGCAACATGCAGCAGCAGCAACTACTACTATAAATGTAACAATTCAATGTGATAGCAAAACAAAAACCAGATGATGTTGATGTGTACAGAGCAGGAGAGAGTTATAGGCATAGACGATGATGTTGATCAAATCTAGAGAACAGGCAGTAGGAGCAGAGAGTGTAACTACACAAGTGTGTGTTTGTGTGGATTATTTACAGCTCATTTATTCAAGCAGAAATCAACAACAGCATAAAGCAAAAGCAAAAGCAACAGCAACAGCAACCATCAAATCAAACACCTATCTATAATTATATCAATAAAACTTGCCGGATATACTGAACCAACTGTCTCTATCTCTGTGGGCAAACTAAATAATTTTCCCTGGATTTTCCGCAGCTAAAGTGGAGACTCGAATGGCGACTAGCGAATGCCCCACGTGGTCTGCCTTTAGCGCATGTTCCATGCAAAGGAAATGTACCCGAATCGGCTAAAAGGGCTAAATTTGCACTGACAAATGCGTGTCTGTCGATGAATCGGAGCCACCCCCAGTCAAAGAGTGGGCCATTGTTTAGGCTCTTTTTTGGCTGCTCTCCACCCGCTGTCAAATGCGTGCGTTGCCTGGCTGCGGGGGTCACCAGTCACGAGTGTCCTGGCCATCGACCAAACAATGGGTGAAAAAATTTGCATTTGGCAGGCTTTGGTAATAGGAAAGACCGAAAGGCGGGAACAACGGATGCGTGCCTGGGAGACACAATAATTAAAAAGCGATTTGTTTAGGGCCGAGGCGCAGGCGATTGGTTGTGTCTGTTTGGGGCAGGGGTTTTGTTTGCCACCGTCGCCGGCCAGGCCCCCTACGAACAAAAATGAGCACCACTCCGAAATGGTACTGCCGCAACAAATCCCAGCCGATGCACACGTTCGCGGAAATCGGCAAATTGGGCCTGGAGCTGCGACGCATAAGCAAACGGATCGTGATCGATGTCAATTCAGCGATCTTCAGCGAGCATGTAAGTGGTTGCTTTCAATGGATCCATGGAGATTAATGGTATCTCTCTTAGGATACCATTTTGGAGGAGTGCGAGCGTGTGGTGGAGCAGTACTGGAACCTGAAGGATGAGACCAAAAATGCCGACTTTCAGTCGCTCTCGAAGAAGATCAAGCGCAGTCCCTACAACCAGCTGCTGATGAAGAAGTTCCACCTGGTGATGGAGCTCAACGACAGGCGCTTCTGCCAGCTGACATTTGTGCTCAAGCGAACGGTGGGTCTTGCTTTCCGCCTTCAGGCCCAACCGAGAGGTCAACCTTTGCTCCCTTTCAGCTAAGTCTGTTGCTGCGCAAGTCCATGCAGTCGGAGATGTGGCTGAACTGGGCGCTGCACATAACCCAGCTGTACAACAAGTGCCGCAAGGTGGAGAAGCCTTCGCTGGAGCCGGAGGTGGAGCAGCTGCCACTACCATCAGCTGAGGACGATCCGGATGATGGAGAGCCGAAGCTGAGCGGCAAGCGGAAGGAGGAGATGCATGCCAATGTGTGCAGCAATATGTTTCCGGGACTACTACTCACACTCAAGCCAATCGATTTTGGCTACGTTCTGCAGCTGGTGGCCCAGACACGTGTGGAGCAGAATGCCCTCGATCTGGTGTTTGGTCTGTTCAACATGGGTGAGCAGGATGCCTGGCGAGAGCAGCAGAATCTCGAGTCAACTTCGTCCAGTTTGGAGATTCTGCGCACTCTAAACATCTCCTTCGCTGCCGGCGACTATCCGCCGTACTGTGACTCTGCGCAGGACTGCAAGGCCATGCAGATTGCGGATGGCAATCTACAGGTTCAGGATGCGGATCACGATCACCAGAGTCTGCGCTGTAAGCACACGGAGAGCTTTCTGCAGAAGGAGCGCGTGTTCATAGCTCAGCTAATAGTCAAGGCAACGGAGATAAGTCCAACCATCTTTGGTGGGTTGCCCACAATCGGTTGTCAGCGTGATTTAATATTCTATAACCCTCCAGCAGACAACGGCAAGGGCGGCACTGTGGACATGAACCTGTATATTGTGAAGGGTTTGCGCTTGCTCTGGTCATATGTGGGCATCATATTGGATCATATTCTCCTCTGGTGGATAGACACGCCCGTCTCCTGCTACAGTCTCACACACATTGACTCCATTCGCAGCTGGCTCTATCATCAGAATGTGAATGGTAAGACAAGCTAAAATATGTCTCCCACTGTGAGTTGCACTTCCTTTCTTTAGATATACCTGAACCAGTCTTCTCTACGCTGCGTGGCATTGGGGAAATTCTGACTGGTTTTGTCTGCAACAACATTTGGGATCAGCTCTTCCGACTGACACTCATATCAGCAAACGACTCGAAGCGTCTGGTGGATGTGGTGGCGGAACAGTACCGCGATTGTCCCAAGAATGTGAGTGGCTCAACCATCTTACAAGTATTCTCAGGCGTTCATTTATACACCCTTAGGAATCGGGCACTCCCACTGGCACCGTGTGGATCAGCATATTCGCGAATCTTGTGAATCTCAGCAATCAGTATTTCTCCAACCTGGAGGCCCACAACAACTCCAGTCTGCTGCCAGTGGCCGAACAGATACCCATTTTGCATAGGCTGGGTATGGATTACCCAGGAGAAAAGCAAGATCCCTCATTGATCTCCTGTGTCTTCTTTCAGATCACTCTGTGCACTCGATGCGTCTGTGGGTCACCGAACAGGCGAAGCTGCTGTGCTGCGAGTGGCACATGGATCGCTTCTTTCAGATACTGGAGCACGATGTGAAGCTCTGCCTGAATGTGTTCATCACCTTTAAACTGCCGAAACTCACTGCCGATCTAAGCGATATCCTAATGCTGGTCTGTGTGGCGCTGCGGACCAAGCTGATTGCCGAGGTCAATGCCAATATAGACAAGTTAAAGGTGGGTCAAAGCATTCCCATGATCGTTCTGTATCTCCCTCTGTTCGTTATAGAAAACCACCGATGAGTGTGTTCAGATATTGTCAGCGGTCTGTCGAGTTCTTAGTCTGGCCAATTTTACGCTTTGCTTTCCCGCCGCCAACTTTTGGCAGCGCGAAATCTACAACAACGAGGAGAAGAGCCTGTACGTGGGCTATGTGCTGGACGAGATCTACCTGCCCACCATACGCGCCACCAATGACATTGTCATACTGAAGCTCATCCTGAAGCTGATCTGCGAGGCCTGGCTGGACTTTATCTTCCAGAAGCGCATCCGTTTCAGCATCAATGGCGCGGTGCGGCTGCTCAACGACTTTGACGATGTGCGCGCGTGGATCTTGGCCTGTACTCTGCTGGACGAGCAGCAGCTGGAGAAGCTGAGCAATCACGAGGTGCTGCGCATGTGCAAGGGTGTGGGCAAAATACTCCTGCGTAAGCCAGAAGATGTCATCTCCATTACCCACTCGCCCAAGTACGACAAAAAGGCGCGTAAGTTGGAACAGAGAACTTTGAGCTTTGCTTCGCCCTACCGAATTATTCACTGCTCCTTTTGCAGAGGATGCTGCCGGGCAGGACACACAGCTGCCATCGGAGATGTTTGTGTCCAATCAGAAGCATTGGCTACAGCTGCGTGCCAGTGGCGGCAGTGGCTTCCCCTTCCTCAAACTGTGCTGCGGCGATGCCGTCATGTAATCTGGGCTACAAATGTGTGTTTATTGGTCGCGCAAAATGCTTTACAAAAGAGAAAGATCTAAAATATACGAGTACTAGATAGAAAAGGGCGTGAGGGGGGGAGGGTATGTCACTATGGTTATGTTCTTGGAAGGAGCCGCATCTAGGGTCTAGGCGGGCACTTTGCGACTAATGATCTTTACCAGCTCATCGACACGCTCGCTCTTGCCGGTAAATTGTTTTGGATGCGGTCCAATCATCTGAATGATCATTGGTACGTCTTGCGAGACCTAAAACCAACAAAATACAAATAATGAGAAATGTGCAAATTGCTGACAGCTGTCAGGGAGGGATACAAATGGGAATGGGCATGGGAATATGGGTCAATACCTCAATGAAGCGTGCGAGTGCCTTCAATGTGCGATAGATTTGATCCTCATTCGGGCTGCTCTGGAAGAACTGCAGAATGGCCATGGCCAGCTCTACGGCAATGTCATCAAAGACCTGGCAGAAAGTAGAACATAAAGTTGAGGCTATCTGTGGCACACAGAACAAAAAGATTCGTTGCATACCACAGTCTTGACCTCCTTGATGGCAATATTGTAGAGGATCATGCTGCCAATGTTTTTCAACTGCGGGCAATTGGAGAGAATGCAGTGGACGGCCACCTTGGTGGTTACGCGTATATTCGATGTTGTCTGGCCATTGTATTCCCACTCGGAAATGTACAGCAGCCACTCGGAGGGACCCACATTCTCAAACAAATTGCACATCTGTCGAACACAAAAGCAGGAGATTGTCAACCCAAATATAAGACCCCCAATATGGTTGTCGGGACTCACAAACATGGCCCATGCCTGCTGCTCCTCGGGTGTGTGCTTATCAATGTCCTGGGCAAAGTTCATAAGCGTATGATCCCGGCGATCCTGGTGCAAAATGATGATGACATCGTCCTTGAGCGCTGCATAGGCCAACGTGCGTATCAGGTGTATCCGTGTGTCCGGTGAAAAGGCCTGAGTATCGCGCAGCACACGCTGCACAAAGACCAGAAAATTGTCACCCAATGCCCAGGAGCCATCGTCCTCGATCAAATACTGATGCAGCTCCTCCATGGCCACCTCCTCCTCTTTGTAGATCTTGCCATCCAGCAGTTTCACTAGGCTTTCTAGTTCAGTCTTTATCTGTTGGGAGGGGAATGGTAGAAATGAAACCAATACCAATACCAATGTGCATTCCTTTTCTGCTCTTACATCGATGTCTTTGCAGACGAGCGCCGGTTCGCGCGGTATCTCTTTCTCCTCCGTGGACTTGGAGCGCTCCTTGCCATTTTGCGGCTGCTGTTGTTGGGCTGCGGGCTCTGACATCTTTTGTCTATAAATAGGCGAGTGAGGAAATTAATAAAATAAATTTGTACATATATTTAAAAATAAGAATCTTTGGCTGCAACAGAACAGCCAGAAAGTTCGGCCTTTTATGGCCATTAATTTGTACAGCTTTTCACTTTTTATGCTTGATTATTATTTTTAACGATCTGCAGAGCCTCCATCTCGGCCATCTGAGTGTTGTAATTTACAGCCCAATTATTGTGCGATCGTGCCGAAATGTTTACATTATTTCCACACAAGAAAATATGCGAGAGATTCCCCAATCTTTTACACATAAACAAAGATGCGGAACAACTCTTGGTAAATGGGGGAAAAATGGCAAAAGCCGGCGGCGACAATTGGTAGAGCGACACACACACACACACAGGACAGAGAGCAGAAGTTGTCAAACCGAAGAAGTGTGACAGTAAAATTGAGAAAAACTCAAAATAGCTGTGGTATTTTTAGGTCTTTTACTTTACGTAGACAAAAAGCGAAATAATAAGGTACAGAAGATTCAACAGGCAACAGGCAACATAACATGAAAATGCAATGCAATCTGATATAAAAGGGAGCTGCAGGAGCTTCAAACTCTGCTGCAAATATGAATAATCATAAATCAAATATATTTGTTTTCATTTTGTCTATTAATTAGCGCAATTAGTGCTATTCCAAATTACTCACATGCTATTTTAGTAGAAGTGACACAGAAATTCCTTCACTTTCGACACCAATTCCGGACACGGAAAAAACAAAATCCAAATCGGAACGTGGCACACAGAGTAACAATTTGTTGTTTATACGAAATTTCCAGCTTTATTCATTTATTTTTCCAGATCAAATTTATCTATTGGCTGGCTGGGCTGTTGCGCTTGCTGCAACTGTTTTGTCTTCCTTTCTTTTGTAGAATTCTTCACTGAATGACGGAGCTGAGAAAATTACGCGAACCGTTCCCACAGAGAATCGATTCGAAATTGTTTCGCTTTCTGCCCGAAAAATCCCGTGAAGGTGTGTGCTGTGTGGAAATCTTTTCGGAAAATGCACACTTGGTTACGAGAACGTGTGTGCTCGCTGATGTACATAGGCATTGGGATTGGGTCGTGTCGTCTGTGAGGAATCGTTGAGTATGTTTTCGGTTGTTCTCGCAGCGGCTCTTTATTAATAGACGGGCGCGGCTCTCACCAGCGTGAAACTGTTCTGCCTATGCAGCTACACTGCCCCAAAAGTTCGGTGCAGATTATGTATGCTCTTTAAGAAATTCAACAATTTGAATAGCCCTTGGCAAGGGCAAGGACCAAGAACTAAGCACCAAGCACCAAGCCGCAAACGTCAATGCAATGTCGTGCGGCTGGGGCATGGGGCGCTGGGAAAGGTCGGGAAACACACACACAAAAAGCTATTAGCTGGCCACCAAAATACATTCCATGCTCCGCAGGATGTCCTGTCACACGCTGAAAGCAACAAGTCTCACATTGCGTAGCCGACATGTTGACCAAGGCCCAAGCCAGCGCTCCATTTCATTTCGCTCTCGAGTGTTAAGCATCGCGGCTGTAGCTCACAGTCTAAGCGGATCCATTTTTCATTTTGTCACCATCATGAAGAGTTCTCTCAAAATGTGCCTGGGTCTGGTCGTGCTCCTGATTTGCCTGCTCTCTGGCAATGCCTCTTTGGAGAGGGAGATGGACAACAACGAAGTGAATAACTTGTCAAATGTGAGTCAGGATTTGCGAAATAATTCTTCGCTAATTTAAGGACTTAAACAATTGATAAACAGTAAAAAGTGTACCCCAACTTCACAATCTGATGGCTGATAGCACGAAAAATATAATCACAGCTCGTTTACTCACTATTTCGTTTGGTTTCGGTTGCCATACGCACTTGCTGTGGAGTTGGAATTTCATGAATACCATTAAATAAAAGTGCAGATTTTGAACATATGAGTAATGCAGTTTTGATCGATTATTTTGGCACAGCACAAACTCAGCGGAGTTATACAATGGAAGTACGAGAAGCGACCATTTTGCAATGCATTCACAGGTAACAACACTCAGCAGGGTGTCAAATTTATATTTATTGCTCAATGCCAATCCCATCCCAATTAATTCAGGTTGTGGCCGCAAGCGTACCTCGTATCCCTCTTATCCGCCCTTTTCGCTAATTAAACGCAATGAGATTGACGATAAGCCCTATAATAATGAATATTTGTCGGAGGGACTGAGTGATTTGATCGACATCAATGCCGAACCAGCTGTTGAGAATGTGCAAAAGCAAATAATGTCCCAGGCGAAGATCTTTGAGGCCATCAAGGAGGCCAGCAAGGAGATTTTCAGACAGAAGAACAATCGGAAAATGCGCGAGAATGGACAACGGCTACAAATGCAGGAGGATCGCGAGAATATGTAAATGACAACTAACTAAGGCCGACCCCGATTTTGTTATTGTATATAACACATATACATACATATGTACTTATATCTTAACCCTGTACTAAGAGAGAGTTTCTACATTGAGAGCATTCAATAAAAAGTTGTTGACTTGATGTGACTGTGCTATTGTTTAATTATTGATTAACATTGAATGTGGTAAGGCAAGCGCATAAATTAAATAATTATATCACAGCGTTACATAAGAATAATGGCGATTTTATTGATTTGAATTAAGATATTACAAGGATAAACCAAACCAAAGTTAACAATTTCCTCAATTTTTGTTGAGTTTTTACCATAAACCTTTAACAACAACTTTTTTTTATGATTTTGCATTGTTGAAATATTTTTGTAGTGGCGTTGTTTAATTGGAAAATCAAATCTAGTTATCATTAAAATGATCGAAAGGCTGTCAAAATGGTGAATTTTTCAACAAATTAACTTTTTTGTTACTCTATTACAGAAAGTAGAATGATTTCACTGTCTCAAGCGCCAAGCCAAGATCTCAATAGATTAAATTCCTATAACAGCTGTACGTTCATACATTTGCATACCATTTACATATATAATGTGTACCGAACCAATGAGAAATATTCCAATCAACAGAACCCAGCTGACCCAAGCAAAAGCTTATTTAAAACCTTAAAAATATATTTCCTCGACTACACTTATCACAACATTTTTATTATGGAAAATAATACAAGTAAGTCGAAAATATAAATAGAAATAATTTAGTTTGCCTTTGGTACACTAGAAGTAAAACTGGTTGGTTGACATTGATATTTGCTGATTGTATACTTAAAGTACGTAGCACTTATCGGTAATCGCATTGATAATGATAAGAACACTTAATCATTTCGCTGCTATCATAATCTGAATAATCAAAGCAAATGGATCGGCTGCACCCACACTTCCCTTGGTGGAAGTACATTGAATTTCATAATTATGCTTGACTTTTTCCTGGCTCACTGGGGCAGTCTCTTGGACAGACGCACCTTGACCCCATGCTTGGGCTGTAGGGCAATGCCGGAGTTCTCGAAATCAATTTCCCGCTTGCTCATCACTTCGACATTGAAATTCTTGAGGATATTGACAATGGCCAGCTTGGAATTGACACGACCCATGCGCTGGGCAATGCACATCCTGGGTCCTTCGCCAAAGGGCATGAAGGCGGTGGGGTTGAAGTTGCGATTCTCGTCCAAGTAGCGATCGGGATCATACTTCTCGGGATCGGGGAAGTACTCAGCGTCGTGGTGTATGCCATAGAGTGAGATAACCACGGGAGTGCCCTTCGGGATGACGTGGTTGGTGTCCGGCACGGTGTAGTCCTGTGTGCACTCGCGATTCAGAATGGGCAGGCCGGGATACTTGCGCAGCGTTTCCTGCACGCACAGATCGAGGAACTCCATCTTCTGCAATGTGTCGTAGCTGATTTGTCCATTGTTCTTGGCAAGTGTCTCGTCCACCTCGGTCTGCAGGCGCTGCAGCAGCTCCGGGTACTGCGCCAACTCGAACAGAGTGAAGGCCGCCGTGGATCCGGTTGTCTCCTGGCCGGCAATGTAGAATATGAAAGCCTGCGCCGTAATGCTCTCAATGGAAATGCATTTGTTATCGCCTAAAAACAAAAAGAAATTGCTCTACACAACTGGACTGTGGGTTATGGCTGCATCAGGCACTCACCGGTGGTGGACTTTTGGATTTTCCATATGTTCTCATCGCTCTCATCCACTGCGCCCGTGTTCCTCAGCTGCATGAGCAGCTGCAGCAAGTCCTTGCGCACAATGCCATGCTTTTCGCGGTACTCAATGGTCTCCTTGACAATTTCCAGCATTGCCATGCCCACCTGGTTCTTGAAGCCCAACGAGAACAAAAACTTTGCCACACTACAAAAACATAACCCCACAACTTTTGAGCATTGATTTGAATGGGAATTGGATTGGCATGGACTTACGATGGCACCAGGAATATCATCATGCCGAAGAGCGTGGTGAAGCGAGTGTTGCGCCGAGCGATTGTCACCAGATTCCTGAACTTGTTGTCCGGCGTCACGAAGCTGTTCATTTCCAAGCCAAAGATGGTCGAGGCAATTATGTCGATGGCATACGTTTGCATCACAGTCTTCAGGTCTATCTCCTTGGAGCCCTGCTCCGGCAGAGTCTTCTGCAAGTGGGTGACCATATTGTTGGAAATCTCCTCGGAGGTGCTGAACATTCCCTTGAGCTTGCCGGAGGTAAAGCACGGGGACAGCATGTGGCGCATGGAACGCCAGCTCTGGCCACGTAGTGCGAATATCGAGCCCGACAACGGATCGTTCACCTCATCCACATAGATGCCGCGATCATGGAAACTTGAGAAATCCTGGGCCAGCACACGGCGTGCGAGCTCAGCATCGCGCACCAAAACCGCCGGACGGAAGAGCAAAAAAACTCCGAGAACGCGTTCCTTGCTCTTCACATATGCATCGTAGATGGCCATGCCCATGCCCTTCTCGCGCCGCCAGACACTGTCCAGACAGCCGAAGGGTATGCTGGAATGCTTGTCGAAGGGAAAGCCACGACGTAGCCAGTAATCGTAATGATGCTTCACATAGAACCAGAACAACGCCAAGAGGCTGCCGACCAGTACAATTAAAGAAAACATTTGCAAACAGTCTGTGGTATTTGTGTTTGTCCCAAACGCGTCGTAACTCGAAACCTGTCAATAGTCAACTGAACGTTGGCCAACGACCCAACCAACGATTTATAGAGGCGGCGATTTCATGACTCGCTCGACTCTGTCGTGGCGCAGATAACGTTCGCAGAGATATAGCCGTTGCGAAATTAGCAAAGAGAACCAGAACCAGATCCAGAGAAAAATTCGACATAGAGATGGCAAACCAAAGTCTTTACTTCAATTGATCGCTACTTAATCGAAGGATTTTATTTCATTTGAGGGCTGCTAGAAATGTTGTACACATCTTGAGGAATCACACAATAATACAAGAGGTTCATTTCGACTAAAAACTTCCAGGGGGGAATACATTTTCTAATATGTATAAACGGTAGAAAATATTCATCCAACCACAACAGCACTTAACTAATAGATAAGCCTCGAAACTACAGAATGCTACGCAATTATTTTTGATATAAATACTCCCCACACTCCAAATACTCCCTCCCTACAGCACTTTCGCATCGATAATCTCAAATTTCAACTCGTATTGCTGATCAAAGCCCATCAGGCAGTCGGACATCATGTACAGCGTGAGCTGCAGTCGGCCACGTCGTGGCGTGGCCTGAAAGGAAATTCGATTGGTGGTGCGTTGTCCACGCAGCGTGAGACGCTTCATGGCCAGCAGCTCGTCACTGGCCTGTGAGCCGAGTGTGAGGAACCAGGCCTCGTTCTTCGGCTTGGGATACTTTGGACAGTGCACAGTGTAGCCGCCCCGACGATGCCCACCTCCGCTGGCATTCAGACGTTGCAGATCAATTCTCAGGACATAGTCTTCGTTGGCATGCAGCTGCATCCATGTGTTGTTCGCCTCCAGAGAGAGCGGTCGCTGGGCGTACTCCTCTCCCATGAAGCGACCCTCCACAGACATTTTCAGCGCAATCTCAGGCAGCTCTTGAATGACCTGTGGAAAATATAACTTGTTAACTGGTGTGTTGGGGAAGGCGACATTCGCTGCTTACCTTGTAAATTTGCTCAATCTCATGCTCCTCGAATGCATCGCGCAGCGGAACAGCCAGCACTTCGTACTCCTTCCTGCACAACTCTTTTAGAACGGGTAGCGTCAAGTAGTCGTGTTCCCCAAGGGCAATGTTCAGGAAGACATCCAGATTGTCCTCATTGACAGCGGGTAATGTGAGAAACTCGCTGCCATCGAACCACCTTGCCTGGATGATACTCTGCATGAGCTGTTGCACCACCAGTGTGGTCGAGAGCCAGCCACGCTCTGCCGTGTAGTCCACCATGGCCTGCATGACACGCGTGGCATTGTCCAGCGCAGACTTTGTGTCCGTCAGGTAGTCCGAGTTGGGCAACGACTGGCGTGAGAAGTGAGCCTGCAGCAGCAGGAACGTCTTGGTGTAGGGCGAGTCCCAGGTGCCCGCTGGTGGCCTGTAGCGACTCTTCTCGGCCATCTCCTCGTTGTGCTTGTCCTCGTTGTGGCGCACTGGCTGTTGATCGAATTCGTAGGAATCGGCTATGGCGAGTAGCACCTCCTTGGTGCCCATGCCTGGCTGGAGATCTTCCAGGAAGTGCTTCATGGTGCGGTACGACAGGTAGTAGTAGGAGCTGATGCGACCCAAGAATGTTGGCACCAGGAAACCGTCGCGCTCCACCAAACAGGCGGAGCTCGACAGCTCGTAGATGACTTTCTCTACCAGGCTCGACATGAATGCATTCACATTCTCGGGCTCCACGCCCTCCAGCTGGTAGTACGAGGGATTCTTCAGCAGTCGCCTGAAGAAGTACGTCCACGTGAGGTAGTCCAAGGCTGCCTGCTTGGTCTGCACCGTGGCGGCCACGATCTCGGCATTGATGTGCTCCGGGAGCACGCCCAGCAGGCTTGACTCCACTGGGAATGGATCGTAGAGGAACTTCTTGTAGAAGTTCTTCTTCTCGTCATGCACCAGGACAACGGCAACGCCCTCGTTGTCGAACTGTGGCCGTCCGGCACGTCCCATCATCTGCAGCACATCCGTAATGGGCATGTCCACGTACTTCTTCACCTTGCCATCAAAGTACTCGGTGCCCTTGATGACCACAAGATGGGCGGGCAGATTGACGCCCCAGGCCAGAGTGGCGGTGGCCACCAGCACCTGGATCTTGCGGTTCAGGAACAGCTCCTCCACAACCTTGCGATCCTGCTCCTGCAGGCCCGCATGATGCAGTCCAATGCCAAAGGCCAGGCAGAACTTCAGGTTCTGGTCGCGTATATTCTGAAGTATCAGCTCCATTTCGTATTCTTTGATGTGCAGGAACTGCTTGGGATTGTCGTCGCCGGCCACGAAGGTGATGAGATCCAGGGCCGTGAGGCGGGTCTGTCGGCGCGAGGAGACAAACACAATTGTGGGCTCGCAGGGCGAGTAGGTGCGAATGGCCTGGAAGGTGGGTCGGTTCATGGTGGCCATGCGGGGGCAGTAATGCTTGCCCGGGAAGCCATTGATGTGCACCTGCAGCGGCACGGGCCGCACCGATGGCTTAAAGTTGTACAGACCCATTTTGGTGATGCCCAGCCAGTTGGCCAGATCCTGGGCATTGGCCAGGGCAGTGGACAGGCCCACAATGCGAATTTCTCGACCCGTGTGGGAGCGAATGAAGTTTGTGCGGGAGACAATCACCTCGATGACCGGACCACGATCCTCGCCCAGCAGATGGATCTCGTCGATCACAATTAGTGCCACATGCTGCACATACTCGCGCGTCTGCCAGGACCGACTAATGCCGTCCCATTTCTCTGGTGTGGTTACAATCAGTTGGGACTCCCGTATGGCCTGGATATCCGGCGTGACGTCGCCCGTCAGCTCCACCACCTTGAGGCCCAGCGAGGAGCGTTGGAAGCGCTTCTCCCAGTCACCTATCCGCTCCTTAACCAGCGCCTTGAGGGGCGCTATGTAGACCACCTTGCACTTGGGATCCTCGTTCAATGCCCGGAATATGGCGAGCTCCGCGACGATGGTCTTGCCACTGCCCGTGGGTGCGCCCAGCAGCACGTTGTTGTCCGTGTGGTAGAGGCAGTGGAATATCTGCGTCTGTATGGGGTTGAAGTGCGTGAATCCGTAGAGCGACTCGTACAGGGCGTTGTCCAGAGCGCTGACAGGCAACGGCCGCAGCGGCAGTAGCTCCGTCAACGGTGGATGATGCTCGGGCAGCACCAGATGCTGGAAGGAGAGGGGAACGCAGGTGGTGCTGCCCAGCCAGCTGTCGCTGGACACTCGAATGTAGTACTGTGGCGGCAGTGGCTCCTTCAGTGGAATGGTCATCACCAGCTGCTGCGGCTGGCCGCTGAACACAGACTTGCGACTCAGCTGGAACAGTTCCGAGTGGTAGATGTAATTCGACTCGGGATCCTCTATCCACAGCCAGAAGCTCTGGCAGGTCTTGCCGTGCACGCGATCGTTCCACGTGAAATTGGCCCAAATGTCCACCTTGATGCGCAGCACAGTGCGCGTGATGGGCTGCAGACTGGCCTCCACCTCCAGCATTGGCAGCTCCTGGGCGGAGCGAATGACCAACTCTGCATAGCGATCACTGCGCAGCCATTCCTTCAGCTCCCGCTGATCCATGTCACGCAATCGATAGACACTCAGGCCGCGACGCTCCAGCTTGTCGATGGTCTCGTGATTGATTGCCGGAAACTGGCGCAGATGGCAATCAAAGTCCCACTGCCGACGCTCGAACATCTTGCACAGCTGCAGCAGGCGGCCCGACAGCACGGCATTGTTCTGTCGCAGCACAATGGAGAACAGCGCACGCGTGATCCTGCCAATGTTCGTTGTGATGTACGACATGTCCGAGCTCAGCGAAAAGGACTTGACATAGCCGTTGGAGAGGTAAGTCTGAATGAGAATGTTGACCTGCCAAAGAAGAAACAAAAGCAAATCATTAGAGAAGTGCAAAAGGGAATAGCTTCCCGTCTGGTTTACCTTTCCGCAAACATTCTCGCTGCCTCCAAATGGCTTCAGCTTGCAGTAGTCCGTCCGCAGCTCATCCAGCTCCTCGAGCTCATCGTCGCGCACTTTTAGCTGCTGGAACTCCTGCGCCTGTGATATCATGGCCAAGATCTCGGCTTCATTCATAAAGGGTTTCATCAGCTCGTTGAATATCTCCACGGTGTCGTATTTGATGTAGAAATGCGAGGCAGTGCGTCCCAAATCGGTGATGTTCATGTCCATCGTGCGCTGATTGAACCGCATCATGCGCGCCTTGTCCAGACTCATCGAAGCGGACATGATCAGCGCCCTTCGACGTGCCTCCAGCGTGGGATCCTTTTGCAGTTCCGCATACTCGATGCCATAAACATGAGGATTGATGCGCATTCGAACGAATAAATACCTTTAAGAGGAGGAAAAGTTAAGGTAAATCCATCGAATGTTGGGTAAATTCTTAAACTCACGTGTAGCTGAGCCACTCAATGGCCTCTTCCACATTGGTTATGGTGCCCAGACCAATCTCCGCATTCAGATTATCGGCCAGACATTGCACAAAGTTCGACTCGATGGGGAATTGATTCGTGAGCAGCGACAGGTAATGATTGAGCTTATCATAGCCAGTGATAATGGTACCCACGCCGCTCTTGTCGAACTGCGGCCGCCCGGCACGACCAAAGATCTGCAGCACATCCAGAATGCCCAGGTCCACGAAGCTGCCATGTTTGGCATCGTAGATGTCCGTGCCTCGTATGATGACGGCATGCGCCGGCAAATTGACGCCCCACGCGAGCGTGGCTGTGCAGACAAGCACCGAGATGTGTCCCTCCACAAAGTATTTCTCAACCATTTGGCGATCGGCGCGCAGCATGCCCGCATGATGCATGGCCAGGCCGCAGGAGAACAAGTCCACCAGCTGCTTGTTGCGACTCTTCTGAATGGAGCGGTTGGCCAGGCCAAAGGCATTCGAGTCTTTGGGCAGAAAGGCGGCGCTGGTGTTGTTTTGCTGCGCCAACTCTCGTATAACATTCGCCGTGCGCACTGTGGCATTGCGGGCGTGGACAAAGACCATCACTTGGTGTCCCTGCTGGACCATCTCGACACACTTCTGGTAGCAGCATTGATCCATGTCGGCGATTTGTTGCAGCGGCTTCACCGACTTGATGCCAATGAAGTTGGTGTCCAGCGGCACCGGCCTGAAGCGGGAGTCAAAGTAGAAGAGTCCCTTCATGGGATTCACGCGCAGAAAGTGCGCCACGTCCACGTAGTTGGGCAGCGTGGCGGACAGGCCCACAATGCGTATCATCGATTGGGAGGACTCCACGAGCCGTAGAGTGCGCGCCACGAGTGCCTCCACCACAGGCCCACGCTCGCCGTGCAGCAGATGCACCTCGTCGATGATGAGCAGCTTGACGAGGCTAATCAACGCCACATCGCCACTTCCTGCAAAGGAAGTTACGCTTTAGTAAAAGTAGCTAACTCGAAGGAGAGTGGAATGCTTACCCTTTCTGGTGACCACATCCCACTTTTCCGGCGTGGTTACCAGTATCTGGGTGGCTGCCATTTCCGCCTTGGTCAACTGCATGTCGCCCGTCAGCTCGCGCACCACAATTTGCAGGGATTTCAGGCGCTTGGAGAAGTTATCAACCATCTCGGCGGCCAGGGCTTTCATTGGTGCTATGTACACGATCTTGAACTCATCCCGATTGATGACACCCTGCTCCAGGTGGCAGCGTATCGTGTGCACAATGCTCAGCATGGCTACGTTCGTCTTGCCGGCACCGGTGGGTGCGCACACCAGCATGTTCTCGTTGCTGTGATAGGCCACAGGATAGACGACAGACTGGATGCGATTCAGCTCCTTGCAGTTGGCAAACGCCAGCCTACCCACATCGTCCAGCTCCTCGATTTGGATGCGCTTGTTGCCCACCGTCAGGGGCGGAGGTTCGCTTGCGGGAATCTTCACCTCCTCCCACTGCTTATTGTCGATGCGCTGGGCATTGTCGGGCAGGGTTATGCGGCTGCCGCCGATGAAGCCAGCGTGTTGTTTCGCCGCCAATTGGCTGTCGAATACGTAGGGATAGCGGATGGGCGCCGCCTGGTACTCCGCCTTGACTGCCTTGGTCGTCAGCAGGAGTGGCTCCCGCTGGGCGTTTTCCAGCAGCATTCGCTGGTGCTGCATGCGCAGCTGCATGGCAGGAATGGACACCGCACAGCCAGGGTCCTCTTGGTCCTCGTCATCCTTTATGTTGCGCATAATGCGCTGCAGTTTCTTCTCCTCGCGTCGCTGCATCTTGCCCAGCTGCTTCTCCTGCGCGGACTGCACCACCACGGCACTGGCCACGGTCGGACGTATTTCCGATGCTCCCCCTGCCCCACTGGCTGCTGTCTGAATTCGCTTTTGCTTAACCTCCTTGACGCGACGCGTTCGCGTGGCAAACTGTTCCAGCTGCTGGGCAATCTTCGCTCTGTCCTGCAGCAGTTTTCCCACCAGCTCGAAGTAGTCGAAGCCCAGCAGTTCCATCAGTTCGTTCTGCAGCTCCTCGCTGCTGCGCTTCGAGCCGAGTATGTCTCCCACGCGGCCCAGCAGATTCTCATCTTCCAGCTTCTCGGCTATGTCCACCAACGCCTGCAGCTCTGGACTCAGCTTGGCGCCATCCGTGCGCTTAACCACTGCAGTGGCTGGAGCCGCTTTCGCTTTGTACTTCATGGAGAACTTGTTCACGGTGCGATTCTTCAGCAGAGCATCGGGCGCCAGATTGGTCAGCAGGCTCGTGTCCAGCCACACGGCTGGCGTGCACTTTACCTCAATCTCTTCGCCCCATAGCGGACCCACATTGTGGGGCTTGCGTTGCGACTGCTGCCAGCGTTTCAGCTCCATGCGGTCGTGCTCCTCCAGCGAGTGCTCCACGGCCAGCACACACTCGTGGATTTGTGTCATTTTCCGATCAAAAGTCTTGCCAAACATGCTGTGCAATCGATTGGTGGTGGCCACCAGCACCACGCGCTGTTCGTGCAGCAGCCAGAAGAGATACAGTGCCGCATGCTCCACCACCTGTGGCTGTTCCTCGTAGCCCATGCATTCCTGCACCAGATTGCGCAGCTTTTGCATGTGCACCTTGACACCGGGCTGTTTCTCGGCTGGCAGCTGTGCCAGCAGCTTGGCTATGGTCTGCTCCTCTTTCCTGTGCGTGGCCAGTGCCGTTATAAGTATTTCATTAGTGGTGAAATCTCTCAAAACTTACTCATAGCAATTTGTCGTCGTGGATGATGCAGCGTCGGAACGGGCTTGTCGCTGGCCATTGAAGCGTCGGCTCTTGGCCTCTAGCTCGGTTTTGGCACGTAGCGATGCACTTAAACGAGGCGGCTCCCACATTCTCGTTTTTCCTGTGTAAATATTGCAGAAATTTCAGATTTTTGCTTCAATGCGGCAAAGTTGTAAAAAAATATGAAAACAGCTGTGGCCACGGTGCTGCCACATCTATGGGAAAAGGTGGTAGATCGTAAATTTTGAATGTCGTAAAGTATTGCCACATCTAAGAAAAAGGTGAGCGTGCAAAACAATATTTGAATTTAAAAATTCATTTAAAATTTGAATTCAAATTATATTGTATATCGCGTAAGTGGCAATTTTTTATATTTCCAACGAATTATCTTGAGAAAATTAATGTCTTTCCTATGCACAACTTGTCACATGCGAAAACTTTTCTAACCTGATGTCGGCTCTTGCCCCAACCCCACCCCACACCATCGTACAAAATAAACCTTCCCCATAAACTTGTTGCGCAAGGTGCAATTGTCTGTGTCCTGAGACGAGACCCTTTGCTCGGATTTATTATGCAGCTCATGTCCACATAGTTGGATGAATCTTGTTGGTCGGTTGGCCGCATGCTTCATTGACCACTTTCAAAATGTACATCCCGTGTGGTGTGGGGACAGGAGGACATGCCTGTGTGTGGTATATATAAGACCCGGCAGCCAGTGGCTCCATCCTTTCAGTTGCGCCTTCTCTGGGACTCGACACACGCCACACGCAACAATTGCAGCTCCTATGAGCGCCATCAACTGTTGAGCAGCAACGACCACGACCACAAGCCAAAGACAATGCTTTGGCTAGCACATTTTCAGATCATTTTGCTATGTGAGTAGAGGGAGGAAGGAGTTGCCAGTGCCTTGTGTACATTTGTTACCATTCCTTTCAGGCATATGGTTAATGTGCTCCAGCTCCAATGCCATGCCATGCGACTCCTGTGGCAAGGAGTGTGCCAGCGCCTGCGGCACTAAGCATTTTCGGTAAGCATTTTCCGGTTACTCTGCTCAAAATAATCTCTGCTCAAAATATCTCCAACATTAGCACCTGCTGCTTTAACTATCTACGCAAGCGCAATGATCCGGATGAGCTGCGTCGCAGCTCGGACCGCAGACTGATTGACTTTATCTTGCTGCAGGGCCGGGCCCTGTACACACAGGAGCTGCGCGAGCGACACAACAATGGCACCCTCATAGACCTCGGCCTGCAAACCTACTACAACTGATGGCAGATCCACGCACACTGACACTGACACTGACACCGACACTGACTTCTGATCCGGCACCCTCGCTCTCTCCCACACCCACCCCCACGATTCACATGATGATCCACGGCTGAATGCTTGAAATGTTTGAGATGTTAATTTTTCCAATAAAGGCGCACACTTTTTTGGGGCACTGTGCTTTATGAAGCATTACAACAGAAGAACCAATCCCTTTCACCTTTGACTTTGTATCAATTGCAGTTGTATATTTTGTACCAGGTTTTTTTTTTACATTTTTCCATTGCCAACTTTTTTTGGTGGTTTTTTGTGGTGATTCGTTTTCCTTGGGTTGTCTACGAGTATATGCAAAATTGCTGCAAGTCTAAGCCATGTTTGTAGATCTCTAAAGCTGTGTCAGTTCCTGTATCGCCAGTTTCCTGTATCGCCTGCTCCTGCTGCAGTCGTCGTCTCTTGATTTATGATTTTTGTTTATGCCTGAGATTCGCTGATCTCAGTCGTTGCCTGAGTTCTGGAGTCGGTGGGCAGCTCGTCCTTGCCACAGGCCAAGCATGGTATCTTCTCCTTGAGCACCTGCTTGTACTTCGGGTGGCTGCAGAGGAGAGGCAGAAATAATGTTTAAATGATGGCAAAGTTGTGCACAATGAACCCACCTCAAGCCGTAGACAATCGGATTGCACACCGCATTGGCCTTGGCGAAAACGGATCCACAAATGGTGCTGAGTGGACTCAGGTGCATGGACTCAAAGATGCCCGCATAGTTGATGATGGTGTACGGGGTCCAGGCAAAGAACCACAGCGAAATGGTGGTCAGTGCCACCTTGGCCAGCTTGATTTCGATGGCCTTGCTCTTGTCGGCCTCGCTGTTGCGCAGAGATGCCACATTCATCTTCTTGGCCTGCTCCCTCATGGCCTTCTCGTGGGCAGCCACAGCCTGAAAGCAAAGAGAACTACACCTGTGGGCACACCTCCTCCATGGGTAGGAGCATAACCTACCTTCATGATGTGCCAGTAGGAGAATATAATCGTCAGCAGAGGTGTGAGATACACCCACAGGGAGTAGACAATGATGTAGGAGCGATTCCACCAATCCTTGGCAAAGTAGTCTGTGCCGCAGGCTGTCATATTCCCCTCCGGCACATACCGATTCCAACCGAACATCGGCATCAGGGCCCACGAGCCGCAGATGGTCCACACAACCATTAGCCGGAGCACCGCTGCCGTGGCTGTCAGTGGCTTCCTGGCCATGCCCTTGACAATGACACAGTAGCGGTCGTAGGCGATGAGCGTCATCGACCAGATGGAGACACAGCCGAAGAGGGATCCGAACAGGCCGTACAGTTCGCACAGGAAGGGACCCATGATCCAGGTGCCGTAGAACCCATTGAGCACCACCGGTGGGAACATCGTGAACATCATCATGAAGTCCGAGAAGGCGAGGTTCACCACAAACATGTTCGAGGGCGTGCGCAGACCCTTGGACGAGGTGAAAATGTACATCACAATGAAGTTGCCCGCCAGCGACATGGTGCCGAGGATGGCAATCACAAAGCCGATAATGCCGAACCACATGGGCTCCATTGGTGGCCACTGGTACCAGTAGGGATCCACCATGTGCATGATCTCGGCGGGCACGCTCTCAGCCAGACTGAGATTGCGCCCATCCCGCATGTAGGCGTAGGTCGGTGGATTCAGGCTCAACATGGCTTCTGCTGGATTAGGTTTTGGATGGTTTTGGCTTTGCATAAACTCTGGGGATGCTGCTGCTGGTGCTGCTGGTGCTGCTACTGGTGGCAACTATTTGCTGTCCATAGCAGAATGGCTGACTCTTCTAGGCGCTGGACTCGGCGCGAATGCCTTGGGCCTAGCCGCGGCCCAAGCTTTATATTGGCCACTTGAGTCCAGCCAATCTTAGCCTAATTGCCCTAATCCAATTAGGATGCACTTGGCCAATCCAAAGCTGTTGGGTTTTCGATTGCTGCAAATTTGTCGCGTCGGATTAGGCGTTTGTCGCGTCACTTCCGAGCTGTCTTAGCCACAAGCCGCAAGGTCAAGTTTGAGGCAACCACCCACCGGCCAATTAGATTAAGACAAAACGCTTCCCTGATTCGATAAGTTCACGTTTTATTGACACACATCCAGGGACTGGCAGCTGCCTCAGGCATGCCAATTGTAGCCCAGTTTGCGGGCTCCTCTCATGATCGTGTGCAGCTGAAACTCCAGGCTGCCGTAGGACTCCATGGAAAGCCCTAAAATATAGACACAAATACTGAAATGACACCCAGTATCCGGAGAGCCTTGTGTGATTGTCTTACCTTTGCACTTCATGCTGTTCAGCAGCACCTTGGGGTCCTTCAGTTCCGGCTCCCGACGCAGCAGCCAACTGGTTACATCGGCAAACATGTTTGGGCACTTGGGCATCAGAATGGGAGCTTCTAGTATGGTGTTCTGGTCAGTGGTTGGACGACTGCCAAACACTGGAAGATGAATGTTGGCATAGCCCAGCAGGGACTCGCGGCCCATGCCACTGCGTCCAAACACGCTCACCAGCAGCTGCGGCCCTGAAACATAAAAGTGTGAGTAAATATCGGGGAAAATCATTTGAAGATTTCACTACTTACAGCCGAAGGGGCTGGTGCTCTTGTAGGTCACCTCGATGGGCATATTGAAGACAATCGGTTCGTTGAAGTGTCCACTCTTGTTCGTGGCCAGCTGCGTGAGTCCATGCTGCGGCCCAGAGGCCAGTTGCCAGTCGGGACCGGCCACCAGTTCGTAGCGCAGGAAGACAAACTCCTGGTCGGGGCCAAGGGGAAATGTGGCGGAAACTATTTGGCCCGTGATGCTCAGACTGAAGTAACTGGCAGTGGGTTTCGAGTCCATCTCAGTGGAGCTCTTCTCCTTGGCACATTTGGACGCTTTCTTGTTTTTATTCAGCTTTTGTTTAGGTTTTTCGTGGCTCGGGCTGGACGACTGGTTGCCCGGGAGACTCATTGTTCTTACTGACACACAGAGGGTGAGTTTTCTACTCCAAATAAAAATAGTTGCCCTGTTTGACAGTCGTTGGCTAGTGCTGGAAAGGGTTGCAATGTGCCAGAGAACAGTGTTCGGTAGCGTTGAAATAATTATAATTCTTATAGTGTAAAAATCATAATTCCAGCAATGCTATTGTAGTTGTTTCTGGAATGCATTAGTGGATAGTTTATGGCTTGTCCATATTTAATTATAGTTAAGATAGCGCTTAAATCTGTAGTTAATTCGTATTAGTTGCTGATTTAATGAATGCTGAATGAAGCGGAAAAATGCATAGCCATAAATCAAATTAATGATTTCTTTCGAAGAGTTTCCTGCAGCCATATGGCTGGGAAGAACATTCCCTGAGCCAAGCTGTGGGTTGGCTTTGTCTTATAAATTTAGCTAATATATGGAGAGGAAATACTTACACATGAGTGTGCACAGTTTATGGTAAATATTTTGTACATGTCGCACCCACCACCCCGATAAGCTGTAGGCGTTGGGACATGTCGACGCCATTGTAATTGAATGCCTTGCGACTTACATGAACGTTACATGGACATGGCTTGTGGCTGACTATTCTTTTTGTTTGCTCTGGTTCTGCTTTGCATATGTGGAAACATGCGACTCGGAGTGGAAGACTAATGTGCGAACGATTAATACGTGACAATTTACATGATTTTTTGTACATTTTCTTGGCTTTTCTCGGTGCACAGCCCGGACACGAGGCAAAAGGTCAATTACGATGGACAATGGCCAGACTCCCACCACGAGCGTGGCTCGAGGGGTTCTTCGGCAGTTGCAGTAGCTAATTTTGTAATGGCTATTGGGTAATTTATAGCTGTCAGTGGTGCATGTTTATAAATCATTATGACAATTGTCG